ACCAATCTGAGTGATAGGTTTATAGGATATCTTTCCTAGTGATGCTGGAAAATGGCAAAGTGGATATGGGTAGACCCTAGGCATCCCAAGACAGTAAGAATAGTCAGAGAATTGTTAAAATTAGGAAGGAGTGGTCAGAAGACAGCTCTCAGGGCAGCTAGGTGGCATAGTAGATAGAGCACTGACCCTGGAGTCAGGAGGACCTGAGTTCAAATCTGACCTCAGACACATGACACTTACTAACTGTGTGACCTTGGGCAAGTCACTTAACCCCATCACCTATCCCCCCCCCAAAAAAAAAGAATAGAGAAAACAGCTCTCTCCAACCCCCGCCCCCCCAGGTTTTCTCTGGGCATAACTTTTCATTGGAGCAATCATTAAGCATTAACATCCCAGACCACTTACTTCAGCCCTGTGGTACTTATTTTCCTGTTTCACTGCCTATCTTGGTACCACCTCCAAGTACTTTTAGCTGGGGATCAGTATTCCTCTGACCAACTGAGGATATGGAACATGGGATTGTTCTCAATCTTTTTCCTATTAAGCGTTAATTGTCACATTCTTTCAGATGTTGTCAGGAGTTTTGTTACATGAAAGACTTTCCCTTGACATCTCCTCCTTCCCCTGGCTATGCCCAGGTTCAGGGTCCTGTTTTGATCATCTTCTCTTTGTACTTACAGCTTTGATTCCCTCACTGATGTTTCTCCAGATCAGTCCGAGCTACATGGCATGTGAATTCAAAGCCGTAGAATGGCAAGATGGTCACAAGGAATTGGACCAAGCACCTAGTGCCAAATGACTGACTCTCCACAAATGCGTCCTACGTAGTCAACTCCCAAACAACCCTTCACACTCCCCAGCACAGGAGAAGGACAACTATTTCTTCACCCATGGGACCAGGCTTTAGAAACTAGTGTGTGGGAGCTGGCTCTATTTACTATGCTTTCTCTACCACCAAAGCAGTAGTTTTGGGATTGCTGTATTCTTGGCAAAGAATTAGAGAATATTTCTTGTCCCAGCACAGCAGGGAACATTGACCTCTTAGAAACCAGAGCTTTAGGATTTCCAGGCCAGCTCCATACCATCTGCCTCTTTCTGTGACTCTCTACCTTTTTGACCTTACAAACATGTTTCTACAGCAAGCATTCATCCCCTCAACATGGTCTAGACATGGTTGCCACTTTGTCTTTCATCCTCCTGCCTGTTTGTCTCAGGTATCTCCACCCAGCCATGAGACTCCCACGGCTCCTTTTGAGCTTCTCGTGCTAGACGTCTTCTTTCTCAATAGTATTCCCATACTGGGTGATGTCACCATGCTGTGGCCTTAAATGCATGGTCTTCTGGGAAATGAAATCCAGAGAATTTTCCCCAATGAAACCCATCATCCTGCTTTCCCTCCATCTTCATGATCCGATGTTGTGTTCATGTATTATTCCCCTCCCCTGAAGCAATATGGGAGCATGGAGTCCATCCATGGAAACATCCCTCAAAGCTTGTAGGCCCAGTTCCTAAAGCTTCATAGGATTTAGTCCTTGGAGATCATTTAGCCCTGGGGGTTCTTAATCTTTTTGTGTGCGTGTCATGGATCCCTTAGACAGCTCTTAATGAGTCAGTGCCTTTCAGACTTGGCTGATGTTCTAACTCAACTTAACAGGCATTTGTTATGCACCTACTGTGTGCTAGGCACTGTGCTAAGAGCTGGGGATAAAAAGAAAGACAAAAACAATTGCTTCTCTCAAGGGGCTCATAATCTGATTGCTCTGGGAGTTACTTTATCTTAACACACATGATGGTTGTATACAATTCTGTATAGAGACGATATGGGTCATGTCTACTTGAGTCAGGGCTGTATACTTGCTGAATAGCCTCTCCATGCTATGGCTACCAACTTTTTGATGATCTATAAGTGTCTATTTTTTTTTTTCCAAATTTGAACTTGAAGCACCAGTGTGGCCTGAATGAGACCTGACTTGCAATAGTACATCCACCCCATTGTCCTTTCAGCTTTATACTTCATTTTGTCTTTTAAGGATCTGGTCTCATGAGAGTTAATCCTAAGAGAATGTGTCTAGTAAACATCTGAATTCTAATTAGTCGATCAATCAATTCATCTGTTAAGTGCCTACTAGGTGCCAGATGCATAGGGGCTGAAGATACAAATTTAGAGAGAATAAAATAAGCCCTACTCCCAAAGGGCTTACATCCTAGTGGGGGAGATGGGTAGTACACATATAAATAAATATCTATCTATCTATCTATCTATCTATATCTATATACATATATAGATATATATGTTATATATAAATATATATATGTTTATACATATTTATATATAAATACATATATGTTTATATATATATGTTATATATAAATATATATATGTTATATATAAATATATATATGTTATATATAAATATATATGTTATATATAATATATATATGTTTATACATATATATGTTATATATAAATATATATATGTTATATATAAATATATGTTATATATAAATATATATATGTTTATACATATATATGTTATATATAAATATATATATGTTATATATAATATATATATGTTTATACATATATTTGTTATATATAAATATGTATATGTTATATATAAATATATATATGTTATAATATAAATATATAATATGAACGTATAACATATAAAGATAATTAATAAATACAAATTCATTAAATAAAGATAGTTTGGGAAGGAGGAAGCTAAGAGTTGAGGGATTATGATTAATCCTAATTTCCCCTTATGGTTTACTTATAACTGAACAGGACCTTATGGACTCATTTTCCCTATTGGGTCAATGAGGAATCAGACAATTAATTTGATCAATTTGCAATCAAAACAACAATTTTTTATTGTCCACTACTTTCAAGGCACTGAGGATTCAGACTAAAAAGCTTCCTGTCCTCAAGGAGCTTACATTTAGTTGTAGAAGAAATCATATAAGATGCTGACAGAAGTAGGATCAGACCTCAGAATGATTGCTAAAGCAGATATATTCTTAAAGAAGCATTCTAGGAGGCTGCTTTCCATGCCTGTATTCTTGAAATCGTGACTTGGGAGGCTTTAATCGAGAACAAGTGAATGAATGAAGTTACTGATCTCAGAGCAGGATGCATAGTACTTCAGACAAGAGAGAGAAGTAAACCTTTGTGAGGGAAAAAGGGAGTTTGGGAGTTTGAAGCTGGCCTGTTTCTGTGTCAGACCTGTTGCTGCTGCTCTGGGTAATGTCTTCGTTGGAAACCATGCACTTCAGGATCTGTAAATAAATCACTGAGATTATTTATTCCTGCTGTGTAGATGTGTTCACTTTTCTCCCATCGTAAGGAAGAGAGAACAACCCATTCCTGAGCAAAATTTTTGTAACCCCATCATGTCTTAACAAGATGGCTTTACCACTTAAATTAAAAAAAAAAATCAAACCCCCATAGAAATTGCTGTTGGAACAACAACGTACTTCGTAATTTTCTTTCTGTGATGACGCTTCCCAGCAGATAAACAAAGGGACTGCAGGTCCTAAGCCAGGAAGAACTTCTCTCCTTAAGGGGATGTCAGCAGATAGAAAACAAACAAACAAACAAATAAGAAACTGAGAGTACCTTGTAGAGATTAGAGTGCTTGAGTAACTTCAATCCCTTTTTCCACTTTCCATGCTTTATCTTCCCTTTCTTTTTCCCCCTCCCCTCCCCTTCCTTTCCCTTTCCTTTTCTCTTTTCCAGTTTGAGTAACATAGACCATGGGTAAATACTGGTACCCCAGTAACTATGACTAAGGAAAAAAACATACAAAATTTAGTCAGAGGGGATCAGGGCTTATTTTTCCCCTTTACCTTTTAGTATTGCTTTTGGGATAGGGGAGAACAGAGGAGAGAAACGGGCTGTTTCGGCTTCGTTAGTGTCTAACCTTTATAAATCCTCTCCCTCTCTTTTTCTAGTCTCTAGGACACCTTTTGGAAAATTCCCCCCTCCCAACCTAGCATTTATTATTCTCTTCAAATTTAGACACTCTCACTTCAGAAACCAAACTCAGCGTATGATGCTGAGGTATCTTCCTGTCAGACCAAAGGCTGTGCTCGGTCATTTCTGATCCTGTTAGGTCTCACAAATATACCAGCCTGTGCAGGAGTCACTGAGGCTGATAGTTTCTTTGGAGTTCTGAACCTACTTGGTCTGTGTGAGGCTATAGTTTATTCAGCTTCACAATTTGCTTTTCTCATCACAGACTATGTCCCTCAGCCCAAGGATCCAACTTGACACTATGGCAGCCTGAGAGGAGGTTTGGCATAGAGGACAGAATATAGGACCTGGAGTTCAGTCCTATATTTGAATCCTGACCCAGACGTTGAATAACTGTGTGACCATGGATAAATCACTTAACATCTCTGTGCCTCAGTTTCCTCAGCCATAAAATGGATGTAATAATCTATCCTCTGACTACTTCAAAGAATTGTCCGTGAGGAAAAGTGAAACATAAATGTAAGATATTTATTAATTACATGCTGTCTAATTTCCTCTTGTAGTTTCCGTGGATGTTACTGTACTAGAGTGCTATAAAGCAGCTCTAACAACTTACTTCCAAACTTCATGTCAACCATAAAGATAGATATTTGTTTATAAAGCATTTGGAGATTATAGGAGCTACATAAACATAGCTGTCAGTGTAGCAAGGTTCACCACCAAGGACTTGGAGGCTAACCTTCCATAGCTCTGTAGATTGTGCTCACTGAACCTCAGTGGCTACGTTGGGGCAAAAGCCAATTTGGCCTGGTCCCAGGAACTTGGGTTCCAAACAGCAGGCTGTTGAGGCTAAATAAACCAGCAGCTACGTCCCGAGGATTTCCACTGGTGCTTATCTGTGTGTGTGTGTGTGTGTGTGTGTGTGTGTGTGTGTGTGTGCGTGCGCGCTCGGAATTCCTGTTGGGAGGCTGGCTTTTTTGAACCAGTTAACACAGCCAGATTACAAATTGACTCTGGTTAGTGTGAACATCATCTCTGTTCAGCTGCAGGACTCCCAAGTCACTTTTTTGGGTGAGTGCCAAAATTATCAGATAATTTTTTTTGCTAGTTGCAACCGGCTACTGAAAAATTCACCTTTCGGCTTCCATGTTGGAAGCCAGTAACAAAGGCAACCTCCAGAATAGCTGGAGATTTCAGTTTATGCGGAAAGCAGGAGAGTTAACATGGTGGAGATTCTTCCCAGAAATAGTCTCATGCATCCAAAGAACAAGAATTACCCGAAAGAAATGGATTGCTTGGATTCTGATTTTTATATAATGTCATCGTGGCTGGAACTTCTTCAGTTAATATCTAGTGAAAAGTTTTTTTTGCTTCTCTCAGAACAGAGTTCCTTTTACATTTGATTTTTACTATGAATTAAATATCAGTCCCTCATCATGGAGACTTTAATGATTTTTTTTTTTTGGCAAGCATAGGCACAAGGTTTACTTCTTTGTCTGGGTTATTAATTTTATGTCATCACAGAAGGTAGCCTAGTTTTATTTTGAGATTGGTTTATTTTCCCTGGACATTTGGGATGAATAGCTCAGCGTAACAAATTATTCTATATGCTCTAGTTTCAATCGTTTAAAGTGGAATCCAAGTTTTCGCATCAGGAACCAATTAAATGATAGTTAGATCTGACTGAAAAATTAATGGTCTAGAACAGAAACTGTGTAGTTTTTTTTTTTTGGAGTTCCTATTTGCAGTATTTCTGTTTTGAATAAAAACCTGGATGGTTCCCAATAAAAGACAAAGTCATCATTTTTTTTAACCAGTTGAACATAAATGGAGCCCCACCCAGCCTGGAATAATCATTTAATGAGAATTATTTTCTCTGCCTTCTATTTAGCTATGGAGGTGTTTATTAATGTCCAGGGACTGTGAAGGTTTGGAATACAAAAAGCCACTGCTGGTGGCACAGGAACTACTTACTGATTTTTTTGGGGGGGAGGTAGGGAGAAGTTTTGTACTTTTAAAATGTCCATTCTATAATTATGTCATCAAGCCTGGTTGCAAAAGCAGGTCCTGTCTCCACATCCATCAGTCTTATGTTAGTATTTTGTATTAATGATGAAATAGTTGGTATAGAAAAATGCTAATGTTGAGTTCTCTGATTTGAACCTTGTTAGTATACTCTGAGAGTAGGAAGTAGTTGAAGATTACAGGGGAGTGGAGGAGTTCACACTTGGCAATTTGCCTGATGCTTCAAAATCCAGGCATTGTACCTTTAATCTGACTAAATTCAAGCATATCAGTAATCGCTTTCCCTGCTCTGCTGATTCCATCATGTCTTTTTTGTTTTTGCCAAAAAAAAAAGATTTCATGGTTAACAGTATCAGATACATTTTTTAATCAAATTATTATCATTTTACTGGAAAATATTACATTTGCAAAGATTTGCTTTGTTCTCATCATTCTGCAAATTGGCTGCTAATTTTGAAGGCACCGAGGGCTCAGTCTTTTCATAAAGTTACAAATTTTCAGGTGACAGAGATCTTTGAGATCATCCAATACAATAGATTTAGATCCAGAAAGCGCTTTAGAGGTGGTCTAGTCCAAAGCCCTTATTTTAGAGAGGAAGAATCTGAGGCACATAAAATGTAAGGTATTAGGGTCATAAAGCCAGAGCTTTATGTGGGGAACTTTTGAGGCCACTGACTGCAATCTCTTCATTTTACAGATGAGGAGACTAAGAAGGTTGTGCCTTGGCCAAAGTCACTGAACTAGGAAGCATAGGAGGTAGGATTGGAATTCATTTCTTCTGACTCTGCAGACAGTCTGCTATACTATGTTGCCTTTCAAGGTCCCACACACAGGAAACAGAGCCAAGATTTAATCTATGCTGTTCTGATGCCAAGTCCAATGCTCCTTCCCCATACCACACTGCCACCCTGGCTCAGTTTCCACAATATTCATTTTCGTTTGATTATTCCTGTCCCCGTTCCAGAAGTCTTCATATCCCCCATATTAGGACAGAAGTAATTTTTATCATGAATTAATTTTATCATTAATTAATGCATGGCATGTAGTGATTAAGTAGACTTGGATTTGGATGTGCTCTTAGACGTGGGAAAATAACTTCAGTGTTCTCTATAAAATGAGGCTGACTGCATTCGCTCTGTCTACATCGTGGTGTTGAGGAGAAAGTACCTCGGTTAACCTGGAAGCTGTGTACAAATATGAGTCACAGTTTTACTGGGATTTAGAAATTTAAATGGCAGGGGCAGCTAGGTGGCACGGTGGATAGAGCACTGGCCCTGAAGTCAGGAGGACCTGAGTTCAAATCTAGCCTCATACCAAACACTAGACACTTACTAGCTGTGTGACCCTGGGCAAGTCACTTAACCCCAATTGCCTAAAAAAAAAAATTCAAATGGCAATTAGGACCTACTCTATAAAGTTGGTTGTCAAAAAAGAGATTTGTAGAAATATCACCAATTATAAGATCAGATATTTAGAGCTAGAAAGGACCTTGGGTAGATATTAGGGAGTGTAACCCCTTCATTTTACCAATGAGCAGTATGAGACCCAGAGAAATGAAATGACTTGCTCCAAGTCTCACGTGTAGTATCCGAAACAGAATTTAAAGGCATTTCTTGTTGACTAAACATTTGGCACTTTAGCTGCAGTACTGCCAAAATGTTTTTAAGCCCTTGTTGTTCCTACTGTTTTGTCAGCTGGTTGTGTCTGACTCTTTGTGACACCATTTCTTTTTTTTTTCGTAAAGATACTGGAGTGGTTTACTATTTCCTTGTCCCGGTCATTTTACAGAGAAGGAAACTGAGGGAAACGTGGTTAAGTGACTTGCTAATAATTGTCTGAGGTTGGATTTGAACTCAGGTCCTCCTGACTCCATGGCCAGCATTCTATTCACTGTGCTACCTAGTTTCCCCTAGCAAGATTCAAACGCACAATCATCACTTTATAAGACCAGGTACTTAATTCTTGCACCTTAGTGCTTTTGCAAATGAAAGCATCTTTCTAGCACAGGGTACACATGCCAAATTTTCTGAGGTTTAAAACAAAATGACAGGATTAAAAAAAAAGCAGTATAGTTGCACAATGCATGGGTAAATGAATATAGAGGCAAACTTACGGTAATATTGAAATAATTTTTTAGGGGGAGGGATTAGTCCTTTGTTGGGGTAAGGGTGCTGCAGTGAGCAAACTCCCTTTACCAATGCAGATTAGTCTTAGAGGGTTGCATAGGGGTAGTGAAAGGTTAAGTGTAATCAATAGAGCAAAGTGTGGTGACCCATTGGCTGCCCCAGGAAGCAACAGAGCCACATTTTTCCTAGCTCCTGTTAGGTGTTGCTGACAATTATACCAATTAATTTAGGCCAAATAAGTACCATTTTCAAGGCTTTGCTGGAGCCTGCTCCTTAAATTTTTAGTGTGAGCATTTATATCTCAGAAATTGGGAAAATACTACAAATCAGAGGGGGATTTATTGTTTTGTGGATTGTTTGGGCTTAAGAAAAATGGAAAAATATTAATAATGTAGATCAATATTAAAAGTATTTTTCTTGTCCATTTTCTCCCCTCAGAGAGCTGATTGTTAAATATTCAATATTCAATAATACATTAAATATTCAATTAGTACACTATTGAATTTGGTACATTGACATGTAAAACAGTAAGGTCCTTAAAGGCTAGGACTGATTTTCTTTTTTGTTCTTGAATTTCCAGAACCTGGCAGACTGCTTAGTAAGTGCCTAATGTGGCCTCACTGTATAGAGCACTGGCCTTGGAATCAGGAAGATCTGAGATCAAATCTAACCTCAGACACTTGATAGCAGTGTGACCCTGGGCAGTTCATCCTCTATTTGCCTCAATTCCTTATCTGTAAAATGGGGACACAACGGAGAAGGAAATGGCAAATCACTCTGGTATCTTTTCTAAGTAAACCCTATGGGATTGTGACACAGCTGAATGACTGAACAACAATAATGTAGGTGCAAGTGCCCAAAGTCTTGTAGCCAGAAGGGAAACTTGAATCCAGGTTTTCTTCATTTCAGGCTGTCACTCTAACCACAATGACATTCTGCCTTTCAAAGGTAATTTGTTTAAAAAAAAAAGGAAGAAGATACAATCATGTGCCCTAGTTATTGTATGTCAAACTGGGGTCTCCTCTAGACTTGGTGAAACTTCCAAAGCATGCTGTTAAATAGAGCTCAGAAGGGGAAGGCTGGACTGAGGTTCCACTTGGTCTTAATGCCCCTGCTTCCCAGAAATACAAGATTCCAACCATGCTGCTTAGAGACTTGATAGCTGGACTTCTGCCATCACACTCATTAACTATAATAATAGCATTAAGTAGCATTTAAGGTTACCAGAGCACTTTCCTTGCAACAATCTCACAAAGTCTGAGGACTGACATTTTCATTTTAAGGCTGAAGAAACTGAGCCACAGAGTGATCAGAGAGATGCCTTGCCTAGGGTCAAATAGCTAGTCAGGGTTAAACAGCTAGTCAGGGGCAGAATCATTATTTCAACCCATGTCTTTGGACTATTAGTCTAGAGTACTCCCAGTACTTCAGAGCATGCTGTTATGTGGATAAGTATTAGTCCTCTGGACCTTTAATCTTGGGGAAGCTATTGCAGCTTGGAAGTTCATAGGCAAAGGTTTTGGTACCTACAGGGTTTACTGGAAGCAGTGATGAGACTAAATGTTCTTGAGGCTTTGCCAAAGATTAATTTAATGCCTACTTCCTGAGGATGTAGGGGAATAAAGGTATGAGGCTATTTCAATTGTGTGCCTTTAAGACTTTATTTGCTAGGGGATGTTTTTTAGATGGTTGGCCTGCGACTTCCAGGAAGCATCTTCATTGGCCATATTTCTTAATCAGCAACTCAGAATTATGAAACTGCAATATGTGGGGCAGTAGATAGAATGCAGGGTGGGCCTGAAGTTGAAAGACTCATCTTCCTGAGTTCAAGTCTGGCACCATGTACTACTAGCTGTGTGAACCTGGGAAAGTCACTTAACCCAGTTTACTTCAGTTTCCTCATCTGTAAAATGAGCTGGAGAAGGAAATGGCAAACAACTCTAGTATCTTTGCCAAGAAAACCTCAAATGGGGTCATGAAGAGTTGGAAAGCACTGAAATGACTGAACAATAACAACAGTATATGAAAAGTCTTGTCCCTTTTCAGCAAAGGCCAAAATTTAACACAAATTTGTACAGATTCTTGATCTCTTATCTCTACACAGTCTTTGAAATTTTCACTGACTTCAAAGGGAGCTTCATACTAGCACAAGATTTCTGCAGGGCTGTGAAGGGATCTGGTTGACAGCATTAGAAAAAATGGGTTCAACTTTTTAACATGCTTACATTTCAGACCCACCAAAGCCTCTGGATTTTCTGATGGGTTTGTTTAAAATCTCTGAGAATAAGGGTTTTCAGCATGGATGCCTGTCCTTAGATCACCCTGTGGGTTTTGGAGCCAATCGCCTGCTGCCCTTTGTTTGAGATCACTTAATGGCTGGGCATGCAGGATGAGGTTTCAGATGGAAATCTGTTGTTTCCATTCCTGATCCCATGTTTGGTCAGGAAACTAACACACCCATGGGGAGTAAACTGTTGCCTATTTCATGGTACCACCAAGAAAATGAATTCTTACAAGACCTCAGTGACATTCTTGTGACCCAGAAAAATGAGTATTATCAAGCTATTACTTCTACAAGTAGTTTATATAGCCTGGATCAGAGTAATATCTAGAGGATTCCAGATCAGGTTACAGGAGAAAGAATTCATAGTGGTAATAGCTTTGGATTGGGTGGGTATTAGGAATGTTGGCTTCCATTTATAGTACCATATATAAATGATTCAATCTGCATTTCAATTTAACATGCTAATTTCTTCACAGTCATTAGTTTGGCATTCTTAGCTGAACCAATGAGTTTTTTATGAATGGATGGACAGATAGCCCTGTCATGAGTCATTACTTCCTTTCCTGAAGACCAAAATATTTTCTTGAACCTACCTCCAGCTAAAATTGACCACACTAGTTTCAAACAGATCATGGGTTCTCCACTGGAAAGGCATGCATCATTGTAATTGGGACATAGGCTGTATTTGAATTTTACTTTCAAACTTTCTGTCTGTATCTATGCATCTATCCAACCATCCATCCATCCATCTATCTATCTATCTATCTATCTATCTATCTATCTATCTATCTATCTATCTATCTATCTATCCATCCATCCATCCATCCATCCATCCATGCATCTATCTATCTATCTATCTATCTATCTATCTATCTATCTATCTATCTATCTGTCTGTCTGTCTGTCTGTCTGTCTGTCTGTCTGTCTGTCTTTCTTTCTTTCTTTCTATCTTCAAGAAATACCTGTTCTTATTTTTTTTCCTAGGAAAGTCCTTTGAATCCATAATCCTTCTTGGTCCACAAGCTATTGAAAAATATCCCCACTAAAGTCAGCTAGGAAGCATAGTAGATAGAGTAGTAGACCTGAAATCAGAATGACAAATTCAAATGCAGACTCAGACACTTACTAGCTTTGTGACCCTGGGTAAGTCATTTCACCATTGACTGCTTCAGGTTTTTCAATTATCCAATAGGAATAACACTATTTACCTTCCAGGGTTGTTGTGAGGCTCAAACAAGTTAATATGTGTAAAGCATTAAGAGCAGTGGCTGGTACATTAAGCTGGTGCTTAATGAATATTTGTTTATTCTTTTCATTACTTCCCAACCTAGTCAATTCTGGTCTCC